AATAACAATTATACTTAAAATCGTTGTTAATATACGTATAATATTATATTTTGTGTCGAGTACTACTTCTTCAGCGGCAGTACATTGGGTTATATTCATTTTTTAATTCTGAAATTTTCGTTGATGATTTTTAATATTTTTTGTGTCCGCACTTGCAGTAAGAACACAAATGAATAAACATAACTAAGATTGTCGTTTCTGGACCGAAATGAAGATTCGATGAATTTTCGGTTCGGATATCCGATGAATTTCCAGGAACCGACACCCCTAAACCCAACCCATCATCAGGTTGGATAGTGGCACTGTCGATTGTGCTTCGGTCCGGAGGTGGGTCGGAAATGACAAGGGTGCCGGAAATCGGAATGGCTCAAAAGTCGGAAATCGAATTCCGACCCACCTCTGCTTCGGTCTGGGCCCTTTCCAAGATGGTTCTATTCCATTTCCCATCTAATAAATTTTCCACAGCATGAAACTAATATACAATATTAAATAAAAAAATAAAAATTGAAACATTAAAATTTTTATTCTTTCTTTTTTACGTGTCTTAGTAACTACTAGGTTTGAGTAACATGAAATGTCCTTTATAAAATGCGTATCCCCTCATAATCTCTATTCCTTAAAATCTCTACTGGGCTAAAATGCCTTATAATCTCTACACAGCTAAAATTCACTAAAATCTCTACTCGGCTAAAAATGATTAAAATAACTATTCCTTAAAATCTCTATTCCTCATAATCTCTACACGAGTAAAATGCCTTAAAATCTCTACAAGGCTCAAAAATAGGCAAAATATCTATTTTTATTATGAAGCCTTTTGAGTGCCAACGTTAAGTGCGGGAACGTTGTTCTGATTTCTGGATTATCTTTTGATCTGATTTCTGGATTATCTTTTGCTTGTATAGTTTTTGACGCTGCGGATGAACCCAGGCATGTCCAGCGGAACGACAGCAGCCGCTTCGATACGATCACCGCAAGGAAAATGAATACGACCGCAGCGAAGCAGTCGTGTCTTATATTTTCGATATTTAAGGCGGATACAGGCGGATATGGCAGCCATTTTTAAACTAATTGTACCCGTATCCATTAACAAGTCTGGTTTTTCCAGAGAAAGATTCAGATGGTACACTTTTGTTGAGACTCAACCGTCCATTTGCGCGGTGTAGAGATTTTAATTATTTTTACCCCAGTAGAGATTTTAAGGAATAGTTATTTTAAGGAATAGAGATTTTAAGCATTTTTAGCCTAGTAGAGATTTTAAGGAATAGCGATTTTAAGGAATAGAGATTTTGTATGGGAGCCATAAAATGTTTCTAGATGGCAATTTAAATCGGGGGAAATAAAATTAAAAATCTTTTCTAAGAGGAAAAATTTAAAGTTACTAAAATTAAATTACATGTTTATAAATTAAATTATTAAAATTTAATTTTAGATTACATCGTTACTAAGCAATTCTTACAGAACACAAAAAAACTACAAAATTCCACATCTGTTCATGTGTATATCGAAGGCTGACCAAGAAATGAATAAGTCGGAGACTTTAAAAGGGATGGAATATTTAAGAGAGTTAAAAAAACTTTTACAAAATTTTTTGGCTTAAAACATCCGGATAAATACCTTAGAATTAATAAAAGACTAAAATTGTGTTAAAATAAATTAATTTCCCCTATCAGGATTCGAACCTGGGGGGATAAAATTAAATTCAAGAACGCTACCACTACACTACACTACCAATCCTCTTATCCTTCTTGCTCCTCAAATAACCCACTGAAATCCTTCAAACCCTTAAATCGGTATATGTCTGGAGGGATTAAGGATCAATTTGCAGTAGACCGACTACAATTTGTGATTGAAATTGAATTACGGCTTAAGTCACTAACGAAAATTTTAACAATTTTGGAGGCCGAGGAGCCAGCTTTATCCTTTTTTAGTGCCGCAGACGAAAATTTTTGAATTTTCAGTTGGCCAATGGTCAAAAATCTGTCTTTTTATAAGAAATATACAAGAAAAATGGGGAAATCCCAGTACAGAAAAATCGGTACTATAGTGGTACCTTGGAAGTTGATCGATACCGTACCAATACCATTAATACCAAAATTACCGAGTCTGTCCTATCAGTAGTACAAAATAGTGCCAAACTGTGCCGTACACTGGTCTAAGGCCTTAACATTTTCGAATATTTTAGATAAAAATAATTTTCTATTGAATTTGACTAATAAAAATATTACAGATTTAATAAATAAAAGTACTTAAATATTTTTTAAAAAATGTTTGATTAGCTTGACTAATTGTTTTAGTGAGAGAGAGACTGCGCATTAATTGGGAAAAATAAAATATATTTATTTTATTTAGAGACTTTTTCCTTTTTTCCTTATTTTTACTAAATAAGCAGCTAAATATAGACTTTAAATTTTAAATTAATTTTTATTCTTTATATTTTTTTGAAATGTTTATTGTTTTGTTTAATGTATTCAAATAATGTTGGTTATAGAAAAAGTGTTTCGGAAACTGATTCTTGTAAGATGGATTTTTTAGAGGAAATGGGGGACGTCTAGATTAGAGTTGTTTGGCGTTGGCTCCCCCCCCCCCAGTGTTGGTTTTAAGGGGGAAGTCTAAATTGGGGTTGTTGAGGTTCCCGGTACCCCAGTTTTAGATGTGGCTAGGGTTGCCCTTTTAGTCGAGCCGACGTTCGAGTTAATTTTAGGCTCATTTTTATGCCCAACTCGATCCTTCGGACCGGACCGGGCCGGCAACCCTATTTATGGCTGTTTTTTGATTATCTGAGTCTCGGTTTTGGTTAACCGACTGTCAAACAACCCTAGTCTTAAATTCATTCGCCCTTATTATCTTAGAAAGTTACCTATGGCACGTTTGAACACACCTAATCTTCAATCCTTTTCCTTGTGGCATCCAATCAGTCAGCTTAATTGAAATATTCGAGAAGGGAGAGGTCTATGTCCCTGTCTCTTATTTATTCGAACCCCTGCTTTCTTAATCTTTAAAATTTCAACAAAATTTTTTAGCAAGCGAAACCTCCTCAAATACAAGTTCCAATTTATCATCCGTAGTGTTAGCTAGACAACAAGAATTACCCTTTTCTTATGATACTGAAACTGGTGCTGGACCATCAATGGCACAGGCTGATTGGAATAATAATAATAATCGTTTCGAGTTTGTTTTTTAACGAGAAAAAAATATTTTTGGGCCAATAATCCTTTGCAAAGGGCGTTGATTTTTTGGGTGTTGATATTTTGGATTGTCTAATATTTATTAATCCACGTAAATCCATTGATCTGTCTCTTATGAAATTAATAAAATGGACAATAAAAAATCACAAAAAAAATTGTTAAGATTTAAAAAAAATTTTCAAAAATTTCTCAAGAAATTTTGGCTCTGGTCTAATTAATGAGTCCAATGAGAAGTTACGAGTCCAATGAAAAATTATGAGTATATCTGTCAATCAAGGGATCAAGAGGATTTTCTACTGATATTCCGACATCTCTTCAAATATCCTGATATTCTTTAATCCATCGACATCCCCCTTTAATCCCTTCAAATCAAACGATCTCCTTCTTAATCCCGCCAAATCCATCATTATCCCCTTAATCTCTTCAGATCCCTTATTAAACTTGTAAAGAAAAAAACTGTTGATCAAAATGTTTTATGTTTTCGGGGTCATATGGCTCTGTAGGTCTTTAGGGTTGGACCCTTTAAGATTGATCATAAAATTTTGATTGGACGCATAAATACATAGATCAGCGCCTAAATTTTTGTAATTTTCAAAATTTTCTAAAAATTTTTCAAAAAAATTTTTTTCAGTAGAAATAGAGAAGCTACAGTCTTTCCAGTATTCACCCCAGCCCCTCGCCAACCCCACCAATCTATGGGTGGAGGTGGTGGTGTTAATAGCCACCCTGTTGGGAGTGGAATACGCCATCAACAACCACGGCAAAACGAATCTTTACACCACCAAGTAACTTTCTCTGAAGCTCCAAATTATAAAATAATTTATTTGGTTGCTTTAATTATTGTTACTTTATTGTTAATTTCTTTAATTGTTATCATTGTTGTTTTGTTGGCTACAAAGAGAGGTAGACTTAATTTAAATTTATTTTTGCTGCTTGATCGGACTGTAAAATGTAGCCAGCCTTCGCCGAAATTGGGTCGGTTAATCAAAATTTTTTTCGGATCGGGAATAAAGTTCGGGCGAAACACGTCACTACTTAACAACACGTGACTTGTATATCACTAAAACTCTAATCACCAAAATCACTTAAAAAATCATCAGCTCAATAAAATCTCTGACCATAATATTTATTAGAGTCATGCCTGATACGATATTTCTCGATATTCCTTTCTATATATATCGAAAAAATACCGACCGTCCCCTCCGTCCGGGCTCCACAATTTATGAGGATCAGCGCTAAATCCTCCTCCCAAAAATTAACCTAATAAAAATCATATTATTGAAGATAGAATTTAATATACTTAAATAAAAGTTTAATTCATTTTTTATATATTATGTAGAAAAATATAGTTAATTGAAATTATTAAGGCAAAAGTTCAAAAGATATTTTTATTCAAGTAAAAAATATTTTGCGACCATTTTTTAAATAAACTCATTATATGATACCTTCTATTTAACAAACTTTCATTATAGGGTACCCTCTATATAATGACACCTCATTATATGTATGATACCTTCTATTTAACAAACTTTCATTATTAGGTCCTATTTTCACCCCCATGAGGGTATCTTATAGCGGTGATGTAACTTTTGCGGCTCGTAAACTTGCGGCTCAGACATTTGCGGCTATCAACTTGAGGACCAGACACTTGCCAAGTGTACGAGCCGCAAAAAGCGGTCAATACTTATAGCAAGGTCCTACTGTAGTTCTTACTGTATAATAATTTTAATTTTTCCAGTATTCTTCTACGACCCAGCCCATCCCCCAAAAAACGTAGATAATTCTTCCCCAACAACAATTCGTTTACCTTCACAAATGCCACCATCACAACCATCACCCCAACAACCTTCTCAACCACCCCATTTTATTACAAAAACATTTGAATGTGAATTATTTATAATAGATCAAGCTAATAAAGCTTATGAAAATGAAAATAGTTTTGAATATTTTCAAGCTAAAACTATACTTTTAAATGCTGTAAGAGAGAAAAATTTTTGGAAAAAAATTTTTATTTTTAAGCTTGCCAATACTTTTGAAGGTTCTTCTCTACGCGATATGAATCCAACCATTTCTTTGGAAAGATTAGAGAATAGGTAGGGAATATAGTTAATTAGTAGGTCCCAGAAAATTAGTAAAAGACTGGACTTGATCTGGGAAGGTCTCCGATTTTATTTTTAATTTATTTGGCTAGGTTGGGAGGCCGCTTTACAATTAGTGTATTTGGGATTAGGGTTGCCGGCCCGTTTCGGCTCAGTTCGAAACATAGAATCGGGCTCGATTTTTGGCTCGAAAAAGACTCGAACGGCCCAGTTCGAAAAAAAGAGGCCTGAAAAATGACTAGAACGTCGGCCCGAACACTGTAACCCTATTGGGGAAAGTTGTAGTTTGGGATGGGACCTTCGGTGTTTAGGTACTTATAAAGTCTAATCAGGGAAGCCTAAAGTTGCCGGGATTAAAGCTGATAGTGTTCAAAAAATCTTCTTTTACATAACCGTAGTCCGCTGGCTGATTTTAAAAATCCGCAACTCGTCATTTTTATTTTTTACATCCGAAAATACATATGATAGATCAAGGAATTCCAAGGATAAAAAATTCAAGGATAAAGATAAAATAAAAATCCAATCCAATTCAGTCTAAGGGACGGAGACAAGAAATTTTTTAAAAAAAAAAGTCAACTCCATCACTTTTGAGGACTGGTAACAACCATATGGAGTGCTAACAGAAGTTTCCTCAAAAAAGTCTCGATTCCTATACTTTCCCCCCCCCCCCCCATTTTCTTTTTAATTTAATTTTTCTTTTCAAAATATTCAGTGATTCTGATTTCCGAATTGTTTTCTCACTAAGTATAATTGTTTTGGAACAAAATAAATCAGTTGGAGAATTGTCAATTCGCAATTTATTACTTAGCCAAATTGGTGTATTAGAAGGATTAATTAATCAAACAAATATAGACAGAAATAGAGTTGTAGTTAAAGAAATTAATTGAAATTTTTTTAGACTTTTTCTTCTTTATTAGAATTATTTATTTCATAAAATTTATATGCTGTATGCAACTTTTTGTTCGGTTATGAACCGGGGATTTGGGTTGGGTTGCCAAAAACCTGGACACACAAACCCAAGACTGTTTGCTAAAATGGTTAGCTTGAAAGACCGAGTTGGCAATGAATATATTTGGTCCGAATCAGCTCGAAAATCCCCCCCCCCCCCCTCTCGAAAATGGTTTAAACGGTATTCTATATAAAAGGAGGTAAACTGCAATTTCAATTATTTTTATTATTAGTTTTTTACAATAAAAATAGTAACACAGTTAATAGGAAATACAAAAACTTCGTATAGTATATATAGGAACAAATGTTAGAAAAAATTTTGTCAAGATTTTCTTCCTAAAAATTTTTTCCTTTTTAATTTTGGGGATAAAAGCTGAATTTTCGGGGACCAATTGTCTCTTCAAAATTTTTAATTTAAAAAAAAATCTTGACCCTCCAAAAAAATTATTTAATTATTATAAAAGTGTTTCCCTTTCCCCTTCTTTTATTTTTATTGAAGCAATATCTGTTCTACTTATAATTCTTTCATTCGTTCGAAAAGTTACATAAGTATACAAAATTGACCCAAAAACAGATATATTAATTCCAATAAAATTATTCCAAGTAAATATATAATCTCCGCTGCTAATCATTCCAATATATGTTACAAACATATTCTTCAATTTTAAAAAAAAATTTTTGAGAAAAAAATTTTTGTCCGCAAAATTTTTGCGGACAAAATTTGCGGATTTTGTTTAAATTTTATTTTTAGTATTTTTAAAAAAGTACAGTATGGGCAGGATCCTGGACGGGATTTTCCGAGATCTGTCCCAAAATCTTGGTGACTTTCGCAACAAACGAAATTACCTTTGGATTTACGGGGATTAGTCGCTACGGGATCGACCCGTTCAAGTTTATAAAAAAATATTTTGCTACAAGGTACCAGATATGGAAAATTGCCTCACTCAGTCTAATTTTTAAAAGACTCTTCAAACAAATTAGAACTGAAAACATTCTAGCCTTAAAAATTTCAAAAAAAATTTTTTTGGAATTTTACCAAATGCCCACATAAAATTAATGGGGGTTTCCGATTCAAAATAAAATTTTAAATAAAAAATTAACTTTAATCGGCCCAACACAAACAGTAGTTAATGCCGAATTGTGTGATGTACACAGAACAACAGAATAATTTAATAATAAACCTCCAATACAAGAAAGAAGTAAAAAGAGTAAAACTGGAATTGTTAAATACCCTTGATCGATATATATTCTCAACTAAAATTTCAAAGAAAAAATTTTTTTTAGAAATTATCAGAATTTGCGGACAAAATTTGCGGATTTTTAAAAATATTTTTTCCTATTTCCCTTTATTTTGTATTTGAAAACCCATAAAAATGAGTTTTAAAAATTCAAATTTTGTCCGCAAAAAAATTTTCAAAAAAATTTTTGATTTTCTTCGCCAAACTTTTAGTAATTTAAAATAGAGTTGGACAAGCCGAGACCGATACCGAGACCGATACCGAGACCGATACCGAGAGTCTCGGCTTTTTTCCAATATCGGTCTCGGTTTTTTCATTCTCGGTCTCGAAACCGATACCGATATTCTCGGTCCATTTCTCGGCGAGAAACGATACTGACTCAAAGACCCCAATTTTCTTGTATTTTTAATAAAACTGAGAATTTTTGACCTCTGGCCTTCTGAATTTCAAAAAATTTTCGCCTGCGGCGCTGAAAAGAGTGATCCTTCTTTATTTACCTTACAAAATCCGAGCATTTATCTAAGCCCTCAGGATTGAGTTCGCACGACTCTTTTATCTAGCTCAACTAAGTCCCATTAATTTAATAAAATTAAAAAGCTTAAATACAATACTGGGTTATTTGGAGGGATTTGGGTGTTTATGGGGATATCAATGGATTTGGAGGGATATCGAATGTAATATACTTTTGTAACAGAGTGTATAATCCTTTTACCTATAAATCCTACTATTGTCACGGATATACTTATTCACGGATATACCTATTCGGATACTGACACAAAAAGTTGTATCCAATGCCAAGCCAGATCGGATCCAGATGATGAAGAGTATTTATCTGATGAGTTGGATGATGAAAATAAAGAAAAAATTATTTTTACACGTATTTTTTGACGTAAAATAAAATTTTCTGTTAGTCTCGATCAGTATCGTTTCTCGGTATCGGTCTCGGCTCAAAATGATGGTATCGGTCTCGGTATCGGGTTTTTGAGTATCGGTCAGTCTCGGTCTCGGGTTGGCCGATACCAGTATCGTTTTGTCCAACTCTAATTTAAAATTCTATCTAAAATTTAAAAAAAACCTTTTCAGTTTCTTCATTATTTAAAAGAATAAAACCAATTAAAGGCAACAACATAAATAAAGAATTGTAGAAGAGTAATCCGTTTTTACCCAATTCCTAAAAAATTTAAAAAATTTTTGGAAATTTAAATGCTTTAAGGGATAAATTTTAAAAAAATTATGAAAGCGTTTTGAAATTTGGGTATTTTTGACTTTTCAACTTTTGAAAATTTTTTAAACAAATTTTAAAATATTAAAAAAATAACCAGCCTTGGAGTTCAATTTCTTCTTCATATAAACACCTAAAATTAGATCTTAAAAAATTAGTGCAATTAAAAAAACCGTTTAGAGCCGTTGCAAAATTATTAAAACAAATAAGTAAATAACCAAGTGAATCAAATGATAGATCAAACCTAAAAAGGAAAAAAAAAATTTTTTAATTGAGAGAATGTTAACGGAAAGTCTGATTTGATATCAAGACTAGAGGTCGGTAAAATCGCATTCACGGGATCCCGTAACGGGATTCTTTTCAAAAAAAAATTTTAAGGGACATGATCCCGCGGGATTAATCCCGTAAATCCCGATAATCGCGTTCGTCGCTTAAAATACGGGATTTCGGAACAGAACCCCGTAGAATCCCGTACGGGATCCCGTCCCGTGCCGAGCTCAGATCAAGACTTAGATTCGACATTTTGAAATTTGGACTTTAAATTTTGGACTTTAAATTTGGACATTATGAAATAAAAAAATATTTTGGGAATTTTAACGGAAATTTTTAAAATCGAAAAAAAAATTTTTTTTTCTTACATTGCTGCTATTGCTGAACCAAGAATCATCAAAAATACGCTAAATTTAACACCAAAAGTAGGTATTATTCTGTAAAAAGCAAGGAAAATTGACAGAAAATTAAATTTAAACAAAATATACCCAAGAATAAAATATTCAAAAAGCATTGTTAAAAATATAGAAAACCGTCTTAGAACTGTAAACATTGGTAAACTGATAATTTTGGTTCCGCCTAGACCGGCAATTAAATTAACTGAAAAAATAAAAGAGAAAATTTTTTGTGAATTTAAAAGAAGTGGTAGTTGAAATTTATGGTGGAGCAGGGCCGGATTTTGGACTAAAACTCCGAAAGCCCCGGATTTTATCCTCAAAATACTCCTTTCCAGGATACCAGCAAGAAAAAAATTTTGAAAGCCGGAAACCAAAGTTTTATGATTTATAAATGTGACCGTTAGGCCTCGCGAATTGGGCGAAACCATCCCGCGAGGCTTTCGAAAGCCAAAGTTAACTTTTTTGCATTTCCCCCCTCCTCAAATTTATTTCGGTAAGAAGAGATGGAACAAAATCTTAAATATGCCACAAAGGACAGTTTAAAAAATCTGGAGACCCTTTATCCGCGTTTCTCCCTTATCTCCATTTCTTATAAAAACCCTCGGCTCTAGTCCAGTTTATGTGCCCACTGAAAAGTTTGTCCTAGACTTATCGTCATTAAGTGGACGCATAAAATGAAGAAGAGCCAAACCCTCTAACAAAAATTATTTAAAAAAAACCTGCAAAGAAAATAGGCAACGGAAAAATTTTTTCTGGGATGGAAACATCCATTTTAGGAAAAGACAAAAATTTGAGGCGTTTAAGTAAATAAAGGGTTACAACTGTTGTAAGCATTTGCCCAAATGCAACATACAAAAAAGAAGGAAATCTGAAAGGGAAAAGAATTAAAATATACTCAAAATATCGTCAAAATTCGGGTTTATTTGACCCTTCAGAAATTAAAAAAGTTACGGAGGTGGCGCGCCGAAATTTGCGGATTTTAATTTGCGGACCCGAAATTTGCGGACCCGAAATTTGCGGACCCGAATTTTGCGGCCCGAACTATGCGGACCCGAATTTTGCGGATCTGAGATTTGCGGACCCGAACTATGCGGACCCGAATTTTGCGGATCTGAGATTTGCGGACCCGAACTATGCGGACCCGAATTTTGCGGATCTGAGATTTGCGGACCCGAACTATGCGGACCCGAATTTTGCGGATCTGAGATTTGCGGACCCGAACTATGCGGACCCGAATTTTGCGGATCTGAGATTTGCGGACCAAAAATTTGCGGATCGACAATAGAGTCTACTGAATTTCGGAAATTTCAAAAATTTTAGCCTGCGGCGTTAATTAGGATAAATTCAGGCATCATGACCTTATGAAATGGCCATATGAATGATTTTTTAAGGAATTTTCTCGATTATTTAAATTATGAAATAATTTTTAAATAAGAAATTGATAAAAATTTTGAAAAATCAAGAAAAAATCATGAGTCCGGTACGGATCATAGTAAATTCTGCCGGAATCATCAAAAAGTAAAATTTTTAATTTTTCAATTTTACTCAAGTGTCGGTCCTAAAATCTTGGTTCCGCAAAGATCAGGTCCGCAAAGTTCGCGCCACGACGGAGGTGTTGGGGTTAATAAGAGAGAAATTCAAGTTTAACCCCAAGCAGGCAACGATCCTGCGATTCCTGACAGCAATTATTGCTAGGAGGTTTTTGCTCATCACGTACGGGTGCTCTCTTCTATTTTAAAACCCCACTTTTAGTAAGCGTTTTGCTAATACCTCAACTACTTAAAATTCCCTTCTCCACTCCCAGAAAAACCAAAAACCTTATAGTAAATTTTCTGTCATTCTATACACAACAGGATAATAAATTTTATAAAATTATTGGAAAGAACCCAAACCTTACAAATTTTAAAAATCAAACCTGTAATTTGTAAGTAAAATTTTATTAACAAAAATAACAGTAATTGAACATATTGCATAAAAAATGGCTGATAAGACACGAAGAAAAATTGTATTATTATTAGAATTATTAGTAGAATGTTGTTGTTTTTGACTAGTAGATAGGCGAGACATTTCACTAATTTTCTTTTTAAATTTACACCAAAAAATTAAATATTCTCCTTTCTCTTGCTAAAAAATTAATTTTTTCACATCCATTTTCCCTGAAAACGTGTAAAAAAAATTTTTTTTTGAAATTTAATCGTCTACTAAAATAAACAAAAAAATGGGTATTTTAACGAGAATAAAAAGAAAAAAAAAGATTTTCTAAAAAAATCCATAAAATTAAATAATCCAACAAAAAAGAAATATTAAAAAAGGAGAAGAATAAAAGAATAACTCCCCCGCCCAAAGATTAAAAATAATAATAAAATTTGTGAAAAAAAATAATTTATCCAAAAATGAAAATATTGGGGTAACATAAAAGAAAATATTAAGGGTATAATAAACAGTAAAGCTTTACAATCCCTGTCTAAATAGTTTTAAGATAAAAAATTAATTTTAATCATCCCCTGTGGTTCTGGAACTATCCATTACTAATTTTTCGAACCGACAATAATCTTGAGTAAAGCCATCAAAGTAATTTTTTAAGCGATAAGCAATGTCTTTATCGCAAACTTGGGCATATTCCGGGGATACACACCTCCTTCCTCCACATCTCTCAAAGACCCTCTCCAAAAAAATAAAGCAAAGATGTCCTAACAATGAGCGGTAGTAATAGTTGAAGAGTTGTTAAGATTAAGAAAGGTTTGACCGCTTTACTATCAGAGAACAGGGATGTCACGGGTTACCCGAAACACGAAACCCGGCCTTTTTTTCGATCCGATACCCGAAACCCGACCCGAGAATTTTTATTTTTCAAAACCCGACCCGAAACCCGACCCGAGTTTTCTAAAATTTTCGCCCTCGTCGGAGAAAAAGGGAAGATTTTTAGCTTAATGATCTCCCAAAATTCTGAAAATTTTCGCCTGCGGCGCTGAAAAAGGAAGAAATCTGGCTTCGGACCTTCCAGAATTTTCAAAATTTTCGCCTGCGGCGCTGAGAAGGGAAGATACCCGGACTTTTTTCGACCCGAAACCCGATCCGAGAAAAATTTTGAAAACCCGATCCGAAACCCGACCCGACTTTTTGCTCAACCCGAAACCCGATCCGAGAAAAATTTTGGAAACCCGACCCGACATTTTCCTCAACCCGTGACATCCCTGTCAGAGAACCATTAGATGCTTTAGATTCAGAAACATCTCTAAATTCATATGACATGAGTTAAAACGCTTAGGCCAGTGTCCAAGCTTTTTCCCTCCTCTTACTGAGAACTTGATTTGATTTTTTACCTGGAACACTTTACTGTTTATTTTAAGAGGAAAATTATTTTAAAAAAAGAAAAACTTTCCAAATAATTTCAAAATTCACAAATAATTTCAAAATTCATCCAAAATTTCTTCTTAATGTTCAGCCTCACAATTACGCGAAATCTGCGCCAAAAAATCAATAATACGATTCGGATCCTGTATTTGATTTGCATACATATGATCAACTATCGGGACATATTGTTGAACCAAACTTAAAATTTTTGCTTCCGCAGCCAATTGTCTCCTTCCCTTTTTTGGTGGGTCTAACCCACCAATAAATTGACTAATTTCATCATCTGTCCTTTTTTGTTCTTTTCTTATAATATCTAAAAAAGGATACTAATTTAATATCCTACCCACCCCCCACCCCCCGCCCCACCTCCCCCACCTCTATTTAAGTTTCCTTTTTTACTGACAATCATTATTCTATCCTTTTTTAATGTCAATCATTTTTTCCTTCAAGTATGGGACACCAAAGAAGGGCGCGCGGCCATAACGGCGCAAAACCTTATACTTACAAGGAAAGGTTGCGAGGTGTCCGATCTAAAAACGATAGAGAAAAATTTTGGGACTTTGGAGGGCCATATCTTGACTAGATCAAAAAAGAGCAAAAACGAGACAAAATCCTTAGCAGAAATTCTCTATCGAATGAGCCCGGTCTCGACCGTTTTTAGGTCGGACACCTCGCAACCTTTCCTTGTTAGAATATTCGGAGGAAGAAAAATGATTAACAGCAAAAAAAGGAAAATTAATCTAAAACTCAAATAGTGGTAGGGGGTAGGATATTAAATAAAGTACCTATAAATGCCCACAAATTTGTTCGAATTGTTGTAAATGCTCTTTTTGTTCGACGATGTATACCCTCTACATAATATTCTATACGGTCTATACCGTCTAAAGTACGTTGGTAAGCATTCCATTGGTTTGGAGAAAATAATGGTTGAGATAAAGTGCCGTCAAAACGGGGACGTCCGGAAAAGTTTACAAGGAACCTGAAAAATGATGAAAATTATTTTTTGATCAATTTTTAGTTAGAATAGTCAAAAACAAAATCCAACATCAGGACGATTTTTCGACCCAAACTCCGGAACCCGATCCAAACCTAGTCAAACTTTTTCTCAGCCTGTCCATCACTGGTAACAAGGATTGACAGCTCCTAATTTCTGGTTATCAAATTTTAAAACCACGTTTTCCATTTTGGTTTTTACTGTTTAAAATCTTGTGGAAGCATTTTCAAAAATAAATCCCAAAAAATTGTAGTTAGAAAAAATTGTACCCACACATATCCTCATGAATAAACTAAAAATCTTTCTCAAGAAATGAAAACCCCCCCCCTCACCCCCCAAAAAAATTGCTAAGAACAAACAAACCAATCAAAAACTTGTTGTAATTGATTTGGAAGACAAGCTTCAAGAACAGTCAAAGCAGCAGCTAAATCAGAAATTGGAAGAAAAGCCAAACAAATAATCATTCGAGCAGATTCAGCAAAAACAGCATCCGTATTGTAAAGCTATTTAATAAAAAATTATTTCAGGTTTAAAATTAAAAGATTTTTGGAACTGGCCCTTATATAAACTGACCCTAATAAAGGAAACCAAGGAAAAAACGGAAAAAATCAATAACGTCTTGCTCCCTAAAAAATCAATAATCACAATTAGTGCCAATAATTTTTAAAAAAATTTACTTGAATCAATCCTTGTTCACTCATTTGTTTCTTCAAATTTTGAGATAAATGAAAGAAACTAAAATGTAAATTGCATTGCGGATGTTTTGCTCTCATAGCATTAAAAAATCCTTGCTCAAAATCGATTGAAGCGGAACGAGGAGAAAATGTTGGCCAACGTTTTTGGATTAAATCAAGCATTCGTTCATAAGTTTTTTGAGTTCTACATGTTAATAAACAATAACAAATTGGGAAAACCCAAGCACCACGTCTAGAAAAAAAATAAGAATGAAAATTGTCTTTTAAGCCTTACTAAAAGTCCGCAACTTTTGTCCGCAATTTTTAAGTTAAACAAAAATTCGTTAAAAACAAGGGTGAATCCGGGTCTTAATTTCAATGGGCCAAATCGAAGTACGCGCCCAAATTTTGGTGCCATTAAAAAGCTTTTCAAATCGCTACTTTTCAAAAAATATTATAGTATGACTTGCGGACTTTTGAAAGCATTAAAAGAAATAAGAAAATTTAATAACCTAGCCATAATCAAATAAAGCTGATCAAATAAGACCGGCGCAACAGGAATTGTTCCATCCACAAAAATTTGTTGGACTTGATCTATCCATCCAGCTGTAGAGGCACAGGCAAATATTAAAATCCTTTAAATTAGAGGCGAATTATTTGGTGAAGGCTATTCCAGAATTTTTTTTAATTTTGAGAAAAATTTCTGGGATGGTCAAGGCCCAAAAGAGACTTAAAAATATATCAAAAGAACCCCAGAAAATACCCCGAACAAAAAATAAAAGAAAATAGCACAGACGAAGAAAATAAAAAAATCACGTTTCTATGACAAGCCCATTGAAATCCCATCATTTTGGGCACCTAATTAACTTAAAAATATACCCCTAATTTTAAAATCTCATCAAAATCAAATTTAACAAAAATAACCGTTGATCCCCATTTTCTTCATAAACACCCGAATCAGCCAACAAAAATTGTTCTTCCTCAACTTCTCCTTCTGCCCCACCTTCCTTTGGACGCACATAAATTTTATAGCCATTAGGAATTTCCAAACCCCTCACATCGTCTGGACCAGAAGGTGGAAGGTTTGCTTTAGGACGAGAACGTTTTTTTGGCTGGAAAATAAAATTGAAAAAATAAATTAAAATGAAAACCTTTCTTAAAAAAGATTTGAAAGCAACAGGTTCAGGAGAAGACACAAAATCATCAACATTAATTTTAGGTTCAATTTTTGGCTGAAAAAACAATAAAAATATTCAAATTATTAATTATGCGAAAAATATTTGAGGATAAAAATAGACAAAAAATTTGAGTGAAGCTAGGTTAGCCCAAAAGATTTTTAAAGGATAAAAAGGAACATAAGACCCCTCAGAAAAACTAAACAGGTAGCCAACAAGAAACATCTCCCAACATTTCCAAAAATGTTCACTCCCTCCAAAAAATTTCTGGATACGTGCCGGTAATACGTTTGACGCCCCCTTACTTTTTCCTTTATATTTTTTTTCCATTTTTTCTATTTAAAGGCAAATTATATATCAGAGAAGCAGAAAAAAGGGGACTTATATAAATTCTAGTTTAATAAGCCAAGCCGAACAAAAACCCAAGAAAATCTTATTTGAAGACCTGGATACAATCCTGATAAACATCCGAACCACATTTTAGACTCAACTATTTTATAAGAAAAAAAAATTTTTTTACTAAAAATAAAAACCTTAGTTGCACTCCGCAATGTTCTATCAACTGAGGTTGAACCCTCATCCTTTGGAGTGCCAAATTTAGCAGCATCCCGTTTTCCTTTCACGCAACTGTGACTTCCAATTTCTTTAATAACCACATCATCCAAATCCGTATGAATACGAGCTAAAAAAATTTTTATGGGTAAAATTTTACCAAAAGAAACCTTTGCATTTAATTTCAGGTCCGCTAAAAGATTCACAACGCCAAAATTTAACCAAACCATTTTTGCTTAGCTGATGAAATAAGTAAGGAATATTGTTGTGGTGTATTATAGGCTTGTTTCTGGATGTTGAAGTTCTTACTGTTTCGTATTCAGCCCCTTCATGGGAGGTATCAAAAGTCAATTCATCGTCTCTCTCATCTCCATAATCGTGCTCAACATCCACATTGTCCTGTTTGGGGGATATGGGATATAAAAGGAGGGATAAAAGGGGGTGCAGTCAATTTCCGTCGTATTTCACGTTTCTCAATGTTTTTATTAGAGTTGTTCACGAGCGAGTAATTTTTTCCTGAAGCGGTCGAAATGCTCTTATTCCTCTCCATTTGCCGCCTCAGGAAAAAATTAACCGGGCGTGAACAATCCTAATTTCAGCATTGGGGATAATAGTGAATTGGGGAGACATCTTAGAAATTTTTTATCGAAAGTGGTGATGCTAATCACAAGATTACTTATACAAAATGATTTTTTGAATAAAAAATGATAAATTCTAAGAAGTCTCCCCAATTTTTCACTATTACCCAAGATAGTTTCAAGAGTCTAGATTACTCAAAATATACACCCCATTTATTAAACATACCCCATGTCGTACCGATATAATTTCCACAGTCACTGGACAACCTTCATTTGACAACATCGCTCCAATTTGAGCCTTAACATCAGCTCCAGTATCTTTTCGAATAGCAGAATCATCCTTTCTAACTACAATTTCTTCTTGATTTGAATTGTCGCTGGTATCCCCAGCATTTAGTGCAGCATCAATTTGAGCTGATAATGAAGATTTTTGATCTCTAAAATGGAAAAGAATTGTAGAGAGCGAGATTTTTGAAAAGCCTGAGCCTGTTCCTGGACTCTGAGGTTTGATTTATTGACCTATCCTGGGCCTGTAGTCCAAGAACAGACCCAACCCCAAGAAGATCAAAAAATGCTTGGGCCTGGACTCTGGGTACAGGAAAACCTAGGCCCTGATCCAGGCCCAACTCGATCTCTAAAGAATTGAAATTAAGAAAAAGAAACTCAAATCCCCCCTCACCCCTTAAAAACAGAAAAATCTTTTCAAGGGACTCGTATTTCATACCTTTGTTCTTCCTGCATCTTTTGAGTAACGGTCTGAAGTTAGAAATGTAAAATATCCTACTCGTATGTCTGAAAATTGAGAGAGAAAATTAAATTTGATTCTTCGTTAAGGCTTTCGGGAGTCTCGGTATTAGTATCTTACTTTAAGTAATGAGTGCCCAGTATAAAAAACTAGTAAAGAGATTCTTCTAAAATCGTTTGTTAATTATAAGACACTCTAAATGACTCAACCAAGACATCAATAAAAGGAGAATTCTGGGCAGCAAAATATTTGGAAAACTCAAATGACTAAAAACTTCTAGAACGAAGTGTCTAGCTTTCTCTTTCTCTAATTTACTTTATCGTTTTATTTATTAATACAAAATGACAACTCTCAGTTCGCCCAACAAAGAAAATTACTTCATTTACTCTAATGGTAAACAATTATTTAATTTCTTTTGAAACGAATACATTATACAAAATATAAAAGATACTGTATAGAAAATAACAAAAGCTAGACAGTTAGAGAAATTTTCTGACCTACTACAAAAAGGATATTGAACAAAACGGTACACGACAAAAAGGTACCTAAGCAGAATTGACGATAACGACACAGCTACCTACATAAATACTTATTGTTAAAAATACATATCTTCTTAAAACTCCCTGCAAACAAGAAAAGTAGTAAAAATAAAAACAATTTATCTTTTACACTTTATTAAATTAATTTAGTACTAAAAATTAAACAAGATCATTTGAAATTAAAAAAAATATATCTGGGAATTTTTTGGAAATAATTAGGAATACATAATTTTAAAAATTTTTAAATTAAAAGCTATAAGTATGAATCTAAAGAGTAAATTAAAGGAAAATAAATTTTGTGAGATTTTACAAGAGCGTAAAAAATATGAAAATTTTTAAAAGGGATCAACTTAGGGCCATATTTTTGGCCATAACTTTTTTGATTCTTAACCGATTTGAATTATTTTTATATCAATCGAAAGCTTTTGATGTGAGGATTATTTTGGTTAACAGAATTGATTTGATTAGAACATCCTTCAAAAAGTTAGAGCCGAATAAAGAGCAAAAATCACGATTGCTCGTACTTATCCGAACAAAACCTTTTGTAAAATGATCTGATCAAATTAATCTTATTGGCTAAAATAACCCTCACATTCAGAGCTTTCGAATGATATCTAAATGAATTAAATCGACCAAGAATCAAAAAAAGTTATGGTCCAAAATAAGGCCTTGAGAATGAAATGGTCTATATCGAGAATGGCCTCTGACTTATCAAAAGGGAACATTGGGTACTGTGACTGCAAATTTGATATACTTTTTTGGTACCAATCAATAGAGGACCCCCGACTTTCTATTGTGAAGTGATAAGGGTTTTCTTGCAAAATGACTTTGGGCCGAGTCACTTACAATAGAAAGACGGAGGTTTTTTTGATTTGGGCCGACGTTCGAGATATTTTTCGGGCCGGCCCACCGAGTCTTTTTCGGGCCAAAATTTGATGCACGACTCGATCTTTCGGACCGCACCGGACCCAAACTTACAATAGAAAGTTCGGGGTCTATCGAATGGTATCAAAAATATACTAAATTCGCAGTTACAGTAAAAGAGGGTTTCTTGTCAGTTATTTTACGCCCCTGATAAATTTACATAGCAAATTAAACAAAAGGTAACCAATTAACATTCAACATTGTACCAAAAATAAAATATCCAAATAAATAACAAAAAATTAAAAAAGGCCAAAAACCTTTTCTCATATAATCTCTTAAAAAAGGTAAAATTTTTGAATTTATGAGATCATCCAATTTTTGTTGTTCTAATGTTTGATTATTTATAAGACGAGCTAATACCAAATATAAAAATGGTGAAGAAGAAAATAAAAGTCTTATTGATATCTTTAAAAGATGAAAATGTTAGAGAAATATTTTTAATTAAATTTATTTATAGGAAAATCCAAAAGAAGATCCAGCTAGATTCCTAGCCTAATCCTTGGTTAGTCCCCGGTAAAGGTGGGCGGATCTAGATTCGAAAAAGTTCGGATATCCAAAAAAATTTCAGTTAGGATTCTAATCCGAATATCCGTGATCCAAAAGAAGATCCATCTAAATGCCTAGCCTAATTCTCGTTGAACCCCGGTAAAGGCGGGTGGATTTGGATCCGAAAGAGTCAGAATATCCAAGAAATTTCAGTTGGGATGATTGACCCTGATATCCGGGAATTCCCCAGTATCTGGCAACCAATTGTCAATGTCATTTGGGCCTCAAATGTCGTTTGGGCCTCTTTTTTCTTCTCTCTAGTGGGTCTTACCTAGCTTCTATGGGTCATATAGGCAATGCTTCTCTCTACTATAGTACATCCCTTGGTTAATGTTTCTATAATTTATATTTGATAAAATAAGAAAGGAAGAAAAACAAGAAGGGGCCGAACAACACCCTATCGACAAAATAATAACATAAAAAACTTCCCACCCTTAAGAAAATTTTTTAAAAATAATTTTCAAAAAAAAAACCTCCACATTGTAAAACACAACACCAGAAAATGCCAAAAACAAAATATGAACAGCAAAAGGTATTTGCCCATTTCTATCAACCAAAATTTCCGGTATCGGTCTCAAATCTGTTGATAATAGACCAAAAGTTTGTTTAATAAATCCATAAAATGCAATCCACAAAGTTGGGGCTGCAAGTAAAAATAAGGGCAATTTTTGCCATTTCCAATAATTAAATAGACCAACATCCCAATATTTTTGTTGAATAAATTGGTAATAATTTGGTAATAAAATATTGTAAAGGGAAAAACTAAAAAATTAAATTTTTAATTAAAAATCTTTTCTTGGTTCTTTTCCTTATGCTCCCAAATATCCGCAAGTTTTACACAATTTAATTTTATAGCAAAAAATAAAATCTTCAGACTTACACCCTTGTGGGTTAAAAAATTATAGCTAAAAATATTATATCTCGATTAATGCTAAAATAATTACCCAGGGTAATTATTGTTTCAACCTCTCGCTGGAGGGGGTAATTATTTGAGAAAAAACGCTTATGTTAGGCAGCCCAGAAACGCTTAATGCTTTACATTAGAACCCTCACCCAGCGAGAACCCAAATTTACAAAATGTATTTTAAATTAAGTCGAACAAACTGAGGTGTAAATATAGAGGAGGAAGGTATGAGTTAACTAGTATTGTTCTTTCTTACACAAAAAAGATATAACTTGCGGACAAAACTTGCGGATTTTCGGAAGGATAACGAAAAGAGAACGGCAGATAAAAGAATAAAACGATACACCTTATTTTTATAAAATTAAAACAAAAAACCTTTGATTACACCATTCCAATTTTGTCAATTCCCCAGGCAAAACAATTTCTCTATACAAAGCTTCCTCAGAATTAAAATAATTTTTAATCCGCAAATCATTATATTCAACATTAGATAAAGAACAAAATTTATCATGAACAGAAAATTCGAATACTCGAAGTGGAATTGACATTAAAGCAAAACATAATAGTCCAAAGAAAAGATTGTTGAAAAACTTGAAAAATTATAAAATAAATTTAAAATTTAATTTTTAATCCTACTTTTTAAAACTAGTCAATACAACTTGGGTATTTCTTGTTAAGGACGAGTTTATAATAAAAGACGAGTTAATAAAAATAATAATAGGCGCCGAAGGCGCCAAAAATTTTAATTTTTAGCGCCGCAGGCAAAAATTTTGAGAATTTTAGAAGCCGGAGCTAGCTCCCGGAGCATTACCCAGCACAGCTATCAAGCAATTTAGTTTTGCCAAAATGCCCCGGCTCCAGTTCGAAAGGAGTCAGGTATCGTCCCCTTCAATCACCCCCAAATCCCTCAATATTCACATTCCCTTTTTAAATTTATAGGTCTTCAGTAGGGTTGTTGGCGACCGGTTATTAACCGGTACCCCCGGTTTTCGGTTAATCTGAATTTTAGAAACCCGGTTTTCGGTTTTGAGTTTTAGGCAAATACCGGTTTATTTTTTGGGGAATTTTAAATAAAATCACTTATTTTCACAAATTTCCGGTTTTCGGTTTTTAAAATTTTTTAAAAACGGTTAATTTTTGGCAAAAAATTTCAAAAATTCCGGTTTTAAAACCGGTCGCCAACAACCCTAGTCTTCAGGGTTAATAGGTCTTCATTGGAGTGCCGGAAAATTGGGCTCTGGAAACTTGGGCTCCAAGATTTTTCGGAAAATTGGGCTCCAACTTTTCGGAAAATTGGGCTCCAGCGGAAATTTGGGCTCTATGAGAAAAAAACGGAAAATTGGGCTCCAATTTTTTAGGCGCGGGGAATTGTGGGCGTCGAAGTTAATTTTTGGATTTTTCCGAAAAATGACACAAAATCTAACAACGTAAACCTATGGATGTCGGCGAGGCGCTTGTGCAAAATCCCGCGCTTCGCGCGGGATTTTGCGGCACGCGCCTCGCGGGAGTCAACGGTCGCTGGGTTCTACAACAGTAACATAAACCTATTCCTTTTACTGATTTTCAGCTTTGAAATGCCGACCTACCCACTAAGTAACAGTGCAAAAATAGTTATTCCAGATATTTTTCGAATAAATCTAAAAATTCACTCTGACGCCCACAATTCCCCGCGCCTAAAAAATTGGAGCCCAATTTTCCGTTTTTTTCTCATAGAGCCCAAATTTCCGCTGGAGCCCAATTTTCCGAAAAGTTGGAGCCCAATTTTCCGAAAAATCTTGGAGCCCAATTTTCCAGAGCCCAATTTTCCGGACACCCTTCATTGGGTGGACTCAAATAAAAAAATATTTAAAAAAAAAAAACCTTTTTAACCAGTTCAACAGAAAATTCACGAAATTCAAATTGTTGATATTTTTGTTGATATATTCCACCATTTTTATCAATCATTCCTCTTTCCCCCTCACCATTTTCATTAGGTATTTGTCTTTCAATAAAAATAATAACATCCAACAAGAGTGGGAATCCAATAAATCCAATATTTGTCAATCCATTTGAACGAGTCAAAAAAGCTAAAGAAAATACTGCGGAAGCATACAACAAGTTTAGACGTGAAGAAATATTTGTTGTTGGTGAATAAATTAATAAAAGACCGAGAAATGTAAATGTTTGGTATATTGATTCGGAATATAATGAAGAATAAAAAATACTGGCTGGACACCTTTAAATAAAAAAATTTTTTTTATAGGTTTTGGAATCCATTTCAAGGGACTTTTTTTCAAGGAATTTCAAATTTTCGAAAATTTTTCAATTACAAGGAATTTCATTTAAAAAAACCAATCCAAGGGAACTCAGTTCTGTTTTGAAGGAATTTAAAAATAGTTCATTACTAGTGATCGGATTTATATGGATTTCTATATACTTTTCCCGGCATTGATGGGTTCTGAAATGTCAAAAAAGCATAACTTTAGCATATGTTAGTAAAGTCGTTTTACCAGCACATAGCTATTTACATATTTTTTCCTATTTTGACAGACCGTCAATATTTTCCGATAAAGTCTATCCTAATCCTAACACTGCTCCCTACAGAAATTATCTGCTTTAACTAATAAATTTTGATGAAAAATCAAAACTTTTGACGAAAAAAAAACAAAATTTTTCAAATGAATCTGGCATTTAACGGCATAAAAAATATAAGGGTTGGCCCCCTTGTTGGGAAGAACTTTTCGTGGTGCAAAGATGTTAGAGGTGGAGTCGAGACCGGAGAATGGCCTAAAAATCATCTTCGGGTAGAGAATCAGGGAATGATGAAGGCAACCCAAGAGAGAAAAAAGATTTTAAAAAATACCAGCAATGAAGATAGACGGCCAAAATAGATTCTTTAATATTTCCTCCATTCAGAAATAAAGTTAGACGGAATAAAAGCATTCCATTAATTACAAAAAGTGCCTTGAAAAATTTTATAAGCTCAAAAAATTTTTCGAAAAAAATTTACATTATTTAACAAAGTTCCAGCAATAAGCATTGAAGAAAAAAGAGAAACCCAATTTCCAATAAATAAATTTAAAAAACCTCCAAGAATTTTAAGAGTCATTGGAAAAAGAGGAAAAAATGCTAAACTGCTTTCCCAAATATATCCAAATTCGGCAATGTGTAAAAAATGTCGAGCATCCCAAGTTGTTAAACCGCCCAAAATTGAATAAATAAATAAATCGAAAGATGAACCTTTAAAAATAAAATTTTAGAAAAATTGAAATAAGGGTAGGAAATCGTTAAAGACAAAAATTTTTCGTTGAAAAAAGTTGGGGATCGTCTAATCGAATGGCTACAAAAAATGTATCGAATTCGCAATAACAGTAAACAATGGTTAACTTTTTGAATCGTTACAATTAAAATTAGAGGGATCCAAGGAATATACAAAAATAGGCTCTACTCCAGTTTATGCGTCCAATCGAATTTTATGCGTCCAATGAAAGCTTATGCGTCCAATCAAACTTTATGAGTCCAATCAAAAAATAATTGGATTTTTCTTGTATTGCCAGGTTGGGGTATGGGTCCATAGCATTTCTTCATGTTCGGGACCTACGCCAAATGTGTCTAGGACCGTTCCTTACCATATACCTCGAAATTTTAGAGAGTTATAGCCAATTTTTAAAAATTCCGAAAAAACAATTATAACTTTCCGAAATTTCGAGATATAGGGTAAGGAACGGTCCCAGACCCAGTGGGCGTAGGTCCCGAACATGAAGAAATGCTATGGACCCATACCCCAACCTGGCAATACCAAGAAAAATCCAATTATTTTTTGATTGGACTCATAAAGTTTGATTGGACGCATAAACTTTCATTGGACGCATAAAATTCGATTGGACGCATAATCTGGAGTAGAGCCCAAAAATAACGATAAATTAATGGCCACAGACCCGATTTTTGTGGAACTTGAACCCAAAGAAAAATATAGAATCCGAAAATAGGCAATAAAACCTAATAATAAATGAAAGTGGAGAAATTAAATAGGGTTGTTTTTTACAAAAATAAATAGGGTTGATGGTTTAGAATCAACATCGAACAAAGGATTTTTTGCTCGGTTTCGGATAGACAGAACGGGGAGCGTCTCGAAAAATTCTCGATCTCGTTAACCGAGATTTTCGATCGAGATCTTGTCTCTGTCTCTAGTTTCGTATATCCAAAGATTTTTCGAGAACTGACAAACCTACAGTAAATTAAAAATTCCGAGGGATTGGGACTTGCAGTTAAAAAAACTTCGAATAACTCGAAAAAAAACCACAACGTCCTACCCTTCAGGTTTTAAAAAAATTAATTTAAATAAACCTTCATTATTTTCAGGTCGATTAATTCCTTTAAAAGCATCTGTTGGACTATCCCTCATCACAAAATTAATTGTACATTGAAACAAAAGAATAATTAATCTGCTTAATATTAATTGTTGAAGGAGAAAAGAATTAATTTTTTGTAATGGGAAAGGAAAAGAAAATTCATTAATTCCTTCAATATGCTTAAAAATGGAAAAATTTAATTTTAAAAAATTTTTAAAAAAAAACCAGAAAAGAAAATAAATATCCATTTAATTCTGATTCAAAATATTTAGATTCTTCATTTAAAGAGTATTGACTGTCTATTAATTGTTGACGTTGAAAGCTGGTAGAAATACTATTTTGTTTGATGTTAATATTGTGATGAGTTCGTTGTCGGTTTCGAGTCATTGAACCTGGAAAAATTTAAAATTGATATTTTATTATATGTATTAAAAACTAAACTTTTTCTTTTGCTATTTATCGACCCATGTTCGCCGAATAACTAAGTTTCCGATTAGTCGGAAAGAATAATCCGCAAGGAAAAACCCCCTAAAGTCCCCTCTAACAAGGAAACATCGTTTAATGTCAGTGCGAATTTGATAATTTTTTATACCCTTCGATAGAGGACCCTCGACTTCCTATTAGAAGAATACTTGCGATATTCATTAGTGCAGTTTCCCCCACATAAACCACGCCTCTTTTTATTTTTTCAATATACGTATTATGAAGAAACCCCCACTTGGAAAAGTCAATAATTTTCCTCGTTACAAATAAGCGCCAGGCAAAGGATTTTCGGTACTAGTGCGGTTTGCCCCCATCTTTCGCCACTCCTTTTCCCATAAATCACGCCCACTTTTTCCACTCCGTTTTCTTATATGTATATGTAAATTACTCGAGTGCCGAGAATGCTTCCCCATTTTAATCTCTTAAATAAATTCAGTCCCCTTTAATTTTAGATGGAACAACTCAAAAATTTTACAATGGACAAAGTCTATCAAAAAATATTTTTGCCTGACAACGAATTTGATCAATGGCTTGTAGAACTTGGACTTTTACATACAACAATGATTTGTGAATGTGGAAATTTGATGATTGTAAGAAAGCCTAAAAATGGGGAGCGTTATGGAAGATGGCGTTGTAACATTTCAAAATGTCGAAAAGAAAAAAGTTTTTTGGCTGGGACGTTCTTTAGTGGATCCCATGTTACGACCAAAAATGTTTTTGCGATGGCATATTGGTGGGCAATGAAGTTTGGAGGGGAAGAGGATTGGGTGAGGGAGTTTGGAGTTGCTAGTCACACGGTGGTGGATTGGCGTAATTCTTTCAGGGATGTTTGCGCCCAATATTTGGAGAAGACGAACAATATTAAGAAGGAAATCGAGGAACCTGGTAATTTTTGGGTATTTAAACTAGGTGGTTGGCTCGGGATGGTTTGGGGGATCGGAGCATGTCGGGGTCGGATATCGTGGTGTAGAGCCTTCGGGTCGGGGCTTTTTGCCAGAAAAATCGTCAGGGGACGAGACATGGTAATCTTTGGATATTTAAGCTCGGGGTTGGCTAGGGGATCGGGGTTTGCCGGGGTTCGGGGACAGAGATTTGAGTTGCCAGGGTAGAGCCTTCGGGTCGGAGATTTTTGCCAGAAAGATCGTTGGAGGACGAGATGCTACTCAACTTTAAATTTTAATTTATAGGGGATGAAGAAGTTGAAGAGCCATTGCCCGTGAAAAGAAAATACAACAAGGGAGAACTAAATAAAGAAGTTTGGCTTTATGGCGGAGAATGTTTGTGGAGAAAGAAGTTCGGATCAAGAAATGAGATATTTTACAATTTTTGGTTTCATGTCTCACATATCTTTCCATGTTATAAGGTGACCGAATAAATCGATAAAGTATATTTATTGATTTTTGGATTTAGAAAGGGACCAAAAAATTTGACCCAAATGTTACTTTTTTTAAAAAATGAAGAGAGGAGCGTGATTTAAGGGGTAGACAGCTATTACCGGACTTTTTGGATGCAGAAACAAATTTTAGTCATTCCGGAACAGAAATCAGCTTAAAAAAATCAGCTATAATTTTCCGTATTCCGCCCCGGATTGCTGAGCTGCCAGATTCCTACGAGAAATGACCTGAATGTTGACTATATTTATACGTACCTTTTTGTCTGATACCATTTTGTCGAATACTATTTTGTCAGAAACAAGATTTCTTCCTTCTCCACTACTACCCTTTCACTCCATTATTTTCTTCTCGCCATTCATTTTTACGTTTTTTAGCTTCAATAAAATTTTTTTCGATTTTTATTCATCGGATTTAACAAATGTACATGTTGTTGTTCCATTTATCTTCAAAAATAAATTAAAATAAATTTTGCTTATTTTCCAAAATCGCCGAACACTTTGAATTTAACTGAATTAATTGCTTAATTAAAAAGTAGACGAAATGTCAAATTTTCGCCACCTTGACGAAGTGAAAGTTGGTGTAACGACAAACCTCGTAATAAAACAAATAAAAACCTCTCACAATCACTCTCTCCATTTACCACACTATCTAAAGACAAAATCGATTCGGTTACGGTATTTAATCGATTTAAGGATTGTTTGCGTTGTTCTTTTTTACCTTACCTTTTTTGATACGTACAATTATTTTTTTTGATTTCACGTCGGTGTTTAAAAATTGATTTTCAGCTTTAAAACCAGTTATTTCAACTTGTTATTTTAAAATTTAGGAAGCCGTTAATTTTATTCCTTTATTAAAGTAATCGTTTGCCATTTTTTTAAACTGTTTATTTCAACTACAAGGTCGGGTATTGCCTCTCATGTAATCTTTTTGTCTCTTGACAGCTATATGATTTCTCAGTTAACTTTGAAATGTGGGAGTCTTTAATTTAATTTTTGCCTAACATCAAGTTTAATCTCTCTTCAGAAACCAGCTTCAGAGTTACCTCCGTATTTATTTACCACCCACCCATATTTTCTTTTTTGTGTCGCCTCTTAAGTATTTTTTGACTCTTGACAGCTATAAGATTTCTCAGTAAACTAAAAAATTTGTGAGTCTTCAATTTTATTTTTAACCCAAATTTGAACATAACCTTGCTGTTCGGGTATAACCAACATCGAGTTTTATCTCCGGCTTTATTCACCACGCACACATTTTCGGGTACACCACTATATACCGCGAGCCCAGTATACCGCCGAGCTATGACTTTGTTCAAAATTGTCAAATCCGGGGCACCCTGGTATAGTTTAAGTCAACAAGTCGGGCCACATTGAACCATACCAGGGCGTTCCAGATTCGACAATTTTTAACGAAGTTATAACTCGGCGGTATACTGGGCTTGCGGTATATAGGCCTGCTCTCCACATTTTCTTTTTAATTTTGTTTTCAGATTTATTTTTTAATAAGATTTTAGTTTATATATATGTCAACAATAATCATTCGCCTCCAAAATTTGCCGCTTAGCGCCAAAGCAGCGGATATTCGGGAATTTTTCGGTGATTTAAAAATCCCAAAAGGATCAGTCAATATTGTTGGAGGGCATTTGGGGGATGCTTTTATTGGCTTTGCTTCAGACGAAGATGCAAGACTTGCAATGTTATTAGACGGAAGATTGTTGCATAATTCAAAAATTCGTTTAATGCTTTCTTCTAAACGGGAAATGGAACAGGTTATTTCGAATGCCCAAGCATTTGCTGGTAAAGGACCGTCAATGAATCAAACAGAAAATAATCAAAATACTTTTTCTCCTCCTGATCCGTCGCAAAAGGAGTCGACAGTGAAATTGGAAGGTTGTTAAACTATTTTTATATTTTTTAATTTGTTAAAAAAATCTTCTTTTGAAAGTTTTAACTTAAATGTGGGGTGAAAATGATTAAAATTTTTTCGTCGAAATTATTAGGAAAAATTATATAAGTTCATCATTTAAAACTCTCATCGACTTTAACGCCGATGCTCGAAATTGCCTGTTTGTTAAAACGACTTTTTTTTTGCTTTATAAACGTTTAGATTTTTAAAATTTACTTTTAAAACAAACAAAATTACTAGGTCGGTTCATAAAAAAGTTCGTTCTACCTAAATGGTTATAGAATTTTTTGTAGATGTTCAAAAGCTGTGAAATTTTGCATATTTATTCATTCAAGTCTTTCCTAATAGACTCCAAAATTTGAGAATTTTTGGTTCGGTATTCAGGGAGTTCTAATCTCCTAAAAAGTTGTTGTCGAAAACTATGTTTCACATCCCCCCAAAAAAGTGTTTTTTCTAACTTTGCGTAAAATCATCCGATCTGGATGATCTAAACGGTTTTGTACATAACATATATGATTTTTGACTAAATACGAAGAATAAAGTTTGTAACTTGTGCCTAACCCGAAATTCGACATTTCTGAAAATCGACATTCCCGTTTATGAAAAATTCAGCACTTAGGCCCCCCTGATAGAGATTTTTAAGAGCTTTCGAATCATATATTACAATAGATATTACAATTACATATACTCGAGAGGGCTCGAACTCCGATGGTTTTCAGATGTTCGGTGTTTTCGACCACAACTCCCTGAATACCGAACCAAAAATTCTCAAATTTTGGAGTCTATTAGGAAAGACTTGAATGAATAAATATGCAAAATTTCACAGCTTTTGAACATCTAGAAAAAATTCTATAACCATTTATGTAAAACGAACTTTTTTATGAACCGACCTAGTAAAATTCTAAAAAATTCCTTCAACATTTTTGCGTTTAAAACATTACAACTTTACTTTAAACCCACCGTTTTAATTTTTATTGATAAGATACCAATTTCTTTTTTCCAAGAGAATTACTCGAAAAAAGCGAATTTAAGTATGATTTTAACCTCTACCATTTTAAGCTTTTATGACACTACCAATTCAAGCTGTCGTAGACTTTGATTTTTTTAATTTTTGAAAAACAGTTACAATAAAAAATAATTTACCCTTTTATTGCTCCAATATCGGCTATCGATTTTTTGCTTTAATTTTAGCTAACTTAGAGTTCGAGCAAAAACTTTTTTTTTAATTCTTATTTTGAAAAATCAAAAAAAAAATTCAAAATCCTTCATTTTGAATTTCATCTACTTTTACATTTTTCTTTTTTAATTTTATTATTTATTTTTATCTTCACTTTTGTCATTTATCAATCTTATTATGTTTATTTATCCTTGCTGCGCTTCTCAATTTTGCCACATGTAACTAAATTTCATCAAATTACATTCTTAATTTTTTAAAATAATTTTAAAAACTTAAAGAATATTTTATTAATGAGATTATGGGTAATTTAAGTATGATGTGCTCTCGGTCCGAATTTTTTAAAATAAAAATCCTAGAATAGAAACAACAATTATTTAGAAGGTGGGAATATTTTAACCTGAATCAAACGCGCGTTTACATGTGTTCAGGAGTAAAGTTATTTGTTGGCCAAAATTTTTAGCTCGAATTTTTAGCTCGCATTGCATGAAGTTAAAAGGGGAGTTTGTAGAACTTTGATTTAATAACCTTATTGACTTAAGCCCTTTTGAATTTATGTATTATATCAAGATTTGAATGTTGGGAGAAAGTTAAAAAAAGCTGTTTTAAAACATGGGGTTTATTAAAAGTAAATCGTTAGTTTTCCAAAAACGAAAATTTTTTTCTTTAACTTCGCCTTCGAAGATCCAAAAATTGTGTGAATTTATTTTATCTTTGGGAAAGGTTTATTGTTATAAAGACGACGATAAGTGTGAAAACGATTAGAGAAAATAATCTTGCGTCGCAAAGCTTTCAGGATCAGATCCCGTCTAAATTATTTTTGGATGGGTTTGATCATTTTATTTTTTTTGTTAGTTAGTCAAGTTGTTTGTGGTTGTTTTTGTGTTTATTATTTTTAAAAAAAATAAATTTTTTTTAAATAGTTTTCATAAAAATAGCTAAGCAGCATTTCAGCAGTTGAAAGACAGTCTTTTCTAATGATAATTTTTAAAATTTTCTCCTCACTATCTATTAATAATCACCCGTATTTGCAACGCTTATCGCCAATTTGGGGGAGCAGGCCAACGTACCGCAAGCCCAGCATACCGCAGGACTATAACTTCGCTTAAAATTATCGATTCCGGGATCGCTTCAGCGCGTCGAGACACATCGAACCATACCAGGGCGTCCCGGATTCGACCTTTTTGAACAAAGTATAGTTCTGCGGTACGTAATATAAAATTTTTCGATTTTAAGAATTTAATTACGAGATATTAATAAATTATTAATTTTCCAGATTTTGATAATATTTTTGTTTTAATTAAATTCTATTTTGTTTTTATCAAATTTCTAATGTTTATTTTGTTTCAAGTTTATTTATAATATAAATTTTACAATTAATTTTCGAATTATAATTAAAAATTTGCAATCGTAAATTACAAATTATATTTTCTCACCTTTTTTACTTTCAATTTTCTCGTCGTCTCACTCATCACACAACTCGATATTCATAGATGAATTTCGTTATTTCCATCGTCCAAATATTGACTAGTAAAAAAATTCAATCTTGATTGATCTTCGTTTCTCCATTGTCTTCATTCTTTAATTTAAAAAATTTTTTGACGGTACAAAATCGACAATTTTGACCTTAAAAATCAATTACCAAACTCTAACCACTATTTACATTTTTTGGCTTTATAACTGTTGATATTCTATGAATAAATGCAACTTTGCCACATAATGCTAAAATTTTAAAATTAAATTTGGGTTTCACAACCGCAATTAGTTAAAGGTTAAAAAATATGACTTAACTGCATTTATCTCAGCAATATTATATGTAAATCGAAATATCAGCGCAGTCAGCTTTTATACTAAAATACAGATATTTAATGGCTTTGTGCTAAATATTAAATATATGTAATTTGTAATATAAATTTAAACTCTAAATTAAAGAAAACCTTTTGTTTTTTTTTTGTCATTTTTTCTATTTATCTAAAATTAGTAAATAATATTTTTTGTTTATCCAACATTTGGCGTAGTGACAGAAGACCCACAGACAGAAGACCCAAGGACAGAAGACCCACAAGGACAGAATACCCACAGACAAAAGACCCACAAGAAAAAATTTTTAACCAAAACTTAAGAAGAAATTTTCTGAAATTTTTGAAAAAGACTTGTCTATTTTTCTAGGCACAAGATTATTGAAATCTCTAGGCACAAGATTTCAAAAAATATTTTTAAAGCAGGCTACCGATGTCTATTCTTATCCATAAATTGTTTATAACAGGAACCGGGAGAAGGATACTCCGATATCTCTCTTTAACAAAAAATCGGATATATCTGGGGATTTAAAGGGATGTAAACAGATTTAAACCTTTTAAGCTTTTTTAATTCTACTAATCCGTTTTTATCAAGCGATATCCCTCCATCTTACTCATAAATAATTACCTAATACCAATGATCCACGACATCCTTGCATATCTCCAATACGCCTGACTACTTCTTGTATTAGTTAATCTTTTATCAAGGGGTATTAACTTAAATCAAGGGGTATTGAGTTTATCTTGAATACCCCTTGATACTAAATGTTTCTTTGATCTACTTTTTCTTTTCATCGTAGCAGACAAAAATTTTGGGAATTTTGAAAGGGCAAAAAGCAATGTTTCTACATTTTTAACAACCTAGGTGAAAATCCTTTGAATTTTTGAATAATTAGCTATTTTAATATCATTTTTATATCTGAACCTGATCAGATAATGTTTTTTGCACGACCTGGACCGGATTAAAAATCCAGAAAGTCCGGGAAATCAAGATCCCCCTTCGTTAAACAAGCTCCCTTGTCATTGGGACAGGATTCCCATTGTTGGAACAACTTGACCCGTTTTTGCAACAACATCCCCAATTATAAAATAACATCCCCGTTGTTGGAACGACTTCCCCGTTATTAGAACAACATCCTACATTGTTGGAACAACCTTCCCGGTTATTTGAACGACCTTCGCTAATATCGAAACAACTTTTCACGTTGTTGGATCACCCTCTTATTATGGAAAACTAATAAGATTAACAACATCCCTCGCGCCAAAATTTATGCAAAATAAAAGGGAAACAAAAAATAGTTGTGGGTCTTTTGTCTGTGGGTATTCTGTCCTTGTGGGTCTTCTGTCTGTGGGTCTTTTGTCTGTGGGTCTTATGTCCTTGGGTCTTCTGTCTGTGGGTCTTCTGCGTCGACACGCCAACATTTCCTCTCATACTAAAAATAAAAATGTAATTATGTAAAAAACAAATTTCATGTAATATTTTATTTTTGCAACTAAATATCAAATAAAAAATTTTAAAAAATTAATAAATTTGTTAAAAATTCAAAAAAAAATTAATTTGGCGAATTTTTAATATTTAAATTTTTATTTAACTTAAAATGATTTAAATAGTATTTTATTTTTTAATTCTAAAATCATAAATTAATTTTTTACCCCATCTCTTACTTCTGCAATCTCTGATTGCAATATTATACATGTAAATTCTGATTTTTAAAGTTTATTAAAAACAAAAAGTTGGGTTTCTAAAAATTCTGATTTTAAATTTAATATTCTGATTTTTAATTATTTAATAATTCTGAATTAAAGTTTAATAAATATTCTGATTTCAAGTTTTAAAACTAATTTTTTGTTTATTTTGAGTTGTAAAATTATGTAAAGAAGCGTTCATTGAATTTGTGTTGATAGACTTAAAAAATATTTTTTTGCATCAACTTAATTCTAAAATTAAACATGTTTGCTTTAAAAATAGTGTAATAAATGTTGCTTTATAAATATTTTGCTTCAAAAAGTTTTTGTAAAAAATTGCAATTTTTTAGAAAAATTATTAACTGAATTTTACGCGTATATTTATTTTTTGATTTTTCTTCACGAAAAAAATTTTTTTTTATTTTTTTTTAAATTTTATTCCATTTTTAAGCCAATTTTTAGGATCCTAAGCTAATCCAAAAAATTTATTTTTATAATAAAAAGTGATTAAAAAAGATTAAAAAATAAATAAAAATATCAAGAAAAAACATTAAAAATAAGACAAAAAATAAAATGCTTACCTAATTTTTATCTTAAAAAATTTAAGTAAATTCGCCTCTTCCTGGTTTTCCTTACACTCAACAGCCCCCAGTATCAACATTTCAACAACAACAATCAACTCAACAAAACTTGTTAGAACAACAACAAGCAGCCACCCAACTACAACAAGCATTTGGTAGTGATTCGTGGAAAACACCCAATTATCCTCCAACAACACAACAACAACAACAAATACTCCAACAACAAACATCCAGACAAGTCCCAACAGTTTTTGAGGGAACAAATGTTCAGAGTAATATTGTTCCTTCAGGTTTTGGTCAGCAACAACAACATCAATACCAACAATTAATTCAAAACTTTCCACCTGGACAACCTCCACCTTCACAACAATTTCGTATTCAACCGCCTTCAATTCGGCCTGCACAACCGGTAACTTGGTTTTAGTTGTTTTTGTTTTTGTTTTCATGTTTTGTTTGTTTTTAATGTTTTGTTGGTGTTTATTATTTTATGTTTGTTTTGATCTTTTTTGTTTAGATGTTTTAATGTTTATTGATGTTTATTGTTTTATTTCATGTTTGTTTTGAGGTTTTTCTTAATTATTTTAATGTTTTGTTGAGTCTGTTGTGTTTGTTTTTCTATGTTTTTCTTGATGTTTTAATAGTTGTTTATGTTTGTCTTTTTTATTTGTTGTTTGTTTTGTGACTTTCTTAATTTAATGTTTTGTTGAGTTTGTTGTGTTGTTTTTAATGTTTTGTTGTTCTGCTGTTTTTCTTGATTAATTACTTGAATGTTTTAATAATTGTTTATGTTTGTCTTTTTTTTATTTGTTGTTTGTTTTGATGTTTTTCTTACTGATGTTTTAATATGTTTATGTTTGTATTTTATTTGTTTGTTTAGCTGAATTTTCAATTAGCAAAAACATTTCTTATGTAATTTTTTATTTTTAAGGCTGCTGTCCAATCCATCAACTTATACAATACTCAACAACAAAACATTCTCGCAACACGTTTTTCTGGTCCTCCAACACAAACAGGACAACCACAACAAACAACTTTTTATTCCAACCCACCTCCACAACAACGAACACAATTTACTCGAGGGGTAACCCAATCTTTTGGTCAACAACAACAATTTGGGGGTAGTTATAGGGGTGGACACAAAACATTTGGAGGGCCTCGTTTTCCAGGGCAACAGAGGTCTTTTGACTCTGACAGAGGTGGTGGAGATAAACGTAGACGAAGCAGGTGAGGGAAAAGAATTTTTTTGATTAAAAAAAATTTTTTTTCTAAGGTCCCCAGCAAATGAACAACGTAAACGTTTAAATATTGTCTCAAACAATGAAAATGATACTTCAACTACTAATAAAACTACAGCTTCCGGAGAATATGGGAAAGGTCGTTTTTGTGTTCAATTGTCGAATGTTCCTTACAAGGCTGCTTTTAATGATATTAATGAGTAAGTGAATTTTTAATTTGAAAATTTTTTTGAAAATTTTAAAAAATTTCGAAATGTCAAATACTCAAAATGTCCATTTTTATGGGTGGGGGCTAACTCGAGGAATTCCAACTCACGGAACAGACAGGTCGCGGAACGACAAGTCACGGACAACTCACGGAACGACCAACTCAAGGAATGACCAAAATGTCGTTCCGCGACTTGTCGTTCCGTGAGTTAGCCCGACACGATTTTTTATATTTTTAGTCGAGGGGGATTTTTTTTTTTAAATTTTTTCGTATTGGATCAGATCTCGAAAAATCCATCAGAACTGGATCCTCTTATTCCGAAAAAATTGTCAGATATCAAAATGTCAACTGCTCAAAATGTCACATTTAAAAAATTTTTAAAGGTATTTGTCGTTAGCGAAAGCTGGGTGTATCAAAGTTACTCGTGTCTACATTCCTGATAAAAATTACACTGATCGTTGGATTGTTGAGTTTGATAATGAAGAAAATTCGAGAGCTTTAATTAAATTTAGAGGAGAAATTTTTGCGAGAACAATAAGGTTAATTTGAAAAATTATTTTTATTTTTAACCATGTTTAGAGCTGAATTAATTCCAAATCGTCGTGCTGATGAACAATATGCGGTAGCTGAACCGGATGAAAGAGACCGAGGGCGTTTTCGAAGGGAGATTGTTAGAAGGGATAGAAGTAGGAGCCGAAGTCGAAATAGGGATAGAAGCCGAAGTCGTGATCGTCAACGTGATTCTAAGGATAGACCGAGTAGTCGGGAAGGTTTGGAATTTTTAATTCTAGGTTTGGGATTTAGAATAAATTTTTTTAATCGGAAAAGCTTATGGTTTTACTAGCTTCAAGGGGGTGGGCCTAATCAAGTCATATAGTTCTTATTTTAGTTCTGCTTTGCCTACATTAATAGGGCACTCCTCCTTTATTATGGTTCTATTACTCCTTTGTTATGGTTTCATTTATTCATAGACCTCTCAAGTAGTTAACCCCACCCCCGTGTCGCGGGGGCAGCGGGGTCCAACCATTTATCCCCTCCCCTATATTTAAACGGTATTTAAATACATACATTCCGTCGTCAGACTCCAAAGGTTCAAGGAGTTCCCAAAGGGGTAATTTGATCAAACCGGTTTAATATGTAAAATTTTTCTAGAAAAACTACCTTTATTCATATAATTTCACCATATTTTTTCACAATATTACATAACCAAAAGATTCCCAAAGGTTCAAGCGTTTAAGAACTAGTTTTTTAAATGGTTTAACCGGTTTCCCAAACCTCATTAAACCTCTCATATCAAACATCTCAAAACTATTATCACCCTCTCATATTAAGCCTCACACATCAAATTATCCATAGTTTTTTAACTTTTTTAGACATTTTAAACATTTTAAATCCCTCTTGTCTTCCTCTTCTTTTTGAAATTTTATTTTTACAACATTTTTACAAAATTCAATAATTATCAAAAAGTAGGCGGTGAAATAATAGTCGAAAATATATTGCAAATAAAATTACAAAATTCATTGTTAACAATGAAAATTGGAAAAAAATCAGTCATACAAAAATAAAATTGTGAATTATAAAAAGTAGGCGTTAAAAAGTGAAAATAGGTCAGAAAGTAGGTCATGCACGAGAAAAAAGTGAAAATTGATGTTGAAAAGTGAAAATTGGTAAATTTTAAAAAAGTTGGTAAAAATAATTATGAAAAGTGAAATTAAGTTAGAAATAAGGTTACCTACAAATTTAAAAAAAAAACTATTAAAAAGTAGGCGTGGAAAAGTGAAAATACATAAAAATCGGTCAAAAAAAAATATTTATAAATCTGAGTTTTTAGGATTCTTTCTTCATTCTTAAAATAATTTATAAAATTTTATTTTGCTAATCTAAATGTCTCCTCCGCCATCAAAGCGATCGCGGATGTTCATGATCAATAATCTTATTGATCAACAGCTTGGCGGCGGTGATTTTGTTAAACACCTTGGCGAAGAAACAAAAATCACCAAGAAGTTTAATATGACTAAACTTAATACTAAATTCCTTATTTCGAATATCCCACCCGATCCTGAGGGTTTATTAAAAGGAATTTTTCAAGAATGCATAGACAAAGCATTAGAGACGAGCCATGATCACAAACTCGGACCCGATCAGCTTGGTTGTACAGTGAGCAGTCAGTTACTCGAAACTGACATTTGGATCCCGATCAGGGACATCAACAACAACACTGTAGACGCCATACTTAATCAATTTCTTAAAGTGGCGCAATCCAAGAAGCAAGATAATGGCATGCTTTGGGGTGAAAACTTTACCGTTATAGTCACATGCGTGGACAAGAAAAATCTCCAATCTACACGGAATATTCAAGGTAGTGGCGGGAAGCATATTCGTCGGATCAACGACAAGGCCTTGATCAAAATTCGTAATTCCGACAACTTTTGTCTATTCTATTCGCTGATTGCTTCATATGTATATTCAATATGTTCCTGGTCGAGGAGTAAATTCTATAATTACATGCACAGCCGATATGGAATGGCTCATCAACTCGAGAAGGATGCACTGGAACTGATGACAAACGTAGGTGCTCCTACTGATCAACCTACTTATGCTGCAAATGAATGGGTGCCAAAGGTGGTGGACTACTGGAATTCAAGGAATGTAGGCCTGTTTAAAGTTTTTATTTTTGGGGAATTTGATGAAAAACCTATTTTTAAATATGGGGCAGAAAATTACAACACTCCAATCCTTCTTTATTTTAACAATAATCATTTTGATGGAGTTAGGAAGGCAAGTGATTTGTTTGGCGAAGCTTATTGTCTCCCTTGTGAAAAAACATACAACCGGTCAAAATATCATTCAGCTTCCTGCAAAGCAAAATGTCAAAACTGTTCAAGAATCGGCCCCAACTACCCTTGCCACCCTTTGAATAACTATATAAAACAATGTAATGGGTGCTCTAAGGAATTCACTAATTAAGAGTGCTACAACCATCACATCAAATCACACTTTTGCAACAATTCCAAGAAATGTAATAAATGTGGAGTGGTATGGATTGTCAAAGACAATAACCGAAACGGTCGCAGTGGGCATGTGTGCTCAGAACGTTACTGCACCATCTGCTTTAGCTTCCATGACCCAAAAAGAGGTTGCTACATCAAACCTCTTACTCTCAAGAAACAAAAACCATATCGATTTATTGCCTTTGATTTCGAAACTACGCAGCACAATCAAGGAGAAAAAGGAAAATTACATGAAGTCAACTTCATAGCAGCAAAAATCAACTGTCCTGAATGCATCAATAATGGATTGAACAAATGTAAAATTTGTGGAGATAAAACAATTACATTCTCTCATCAACCTTTTTCCAAAACTACAGTCGATCAAATGAACATCACCAATGATCCTCTGACTGATTTTGCAACCTGGATCACCAATACTTCAACAGATACAATTGCCTTCTCACATTTTGGTGGAAGGTTCGACATGGTCCTACTCTTCAAAACGTTATATCTGCAAGGGTTAACACCGGATATGATTAAGAAAGGGAATAAAATGTATGAAATGAAGGTGAAAAATAAAAATAAATGTTGGATAATCTTCAGAGACACGTATAATCTAATGCCAATGCCTTTGGCCTCCCTTGTACCATCGTTTGGACTACAGGTGGAAGACAAACCTTTCTTCCCTCACCTAGCCAACAACCCAAAGAATTATGGAAAAGAAATATGCCCGACTAAAGAAGACTATATTTGCAACGGAATGATGCCTGAAAAACGTATTCATTTCGATAAATGGTTCGATTTACACAAAAACGAGCCTTTTCTCCTCGATGAACAACTTGCATCCTACTGCACAAATGATGTTGAAATACTTATGGCTGCTCTTATAGCCTTCAGAAAAGAATTTTTGGAAGTTTCCAATGGTTTGGATGTCTTACGGGAGTCCATGACTATTGCCTCAGCCTGCATGAAGCACTTCCGAATGAATCATCTCAAAGCTCAACATGTTGGGATTGTACCTGAAAAAGGATACGACAACGTCGACAACCAAAGCTTATTGGCACTCCGTTTCCTTAAATGGTATGCGGAGGAAAACAACGTAACTATCCGAACTGCACACTCAAAGAATGGGGAGAAAAAGATTGGCAATTATAAATTGGATGGTTGGGTTAAAGAAAAGAAATTGGCTTTAGAAGTTAATGGGTGCTGCTGGCATGGCTGTATCAAATGCTACCCAGATGACAGCATAAAACTTCCTACTGGACTTACTGCAGGTCAACAAAGGCAAAAGGACCAACAACGTCTTAACTTTATCAAGAATTTAGGGGTAAATGTTGAAATCTATTGGGAGTGTGAAATAAGGAAAATGGTTTCAAAAGATTTTGAGATGAGAAGAATGTTTAAGAATTACTTGGATGATGGGCCAATCAACATTAGGTCAGCATTTTATGGTGGGAGAACAGGTCCTCTGAAACTCTTCCATAAGATTGAACCTGGAGAGAAAATTTCCTACTACGACGTGACTTCCCTCTACCCCTTTATAAATGTTTCTACGCGGTACCCTGTTGGACATCCTGAAGTGCACGATGTCAACTGGACTAAACCTGAGGACAACATCTACAATCTTTCCCTTCTAAAAGTATTCATCATCCCTCCACGAAAAATAGATATCCCTGTCTTACCTATGAAAATTGGAGAGGATGAAGATGAACGACTACTTTTCCCCTTGTGCTCTACATGTGCCAAAGAACATCCACATGGGGATGTCAAGGAAAACTACTGCTGTCCCCATTCAGATCAACAGAGAGGGTGGGTGTCTACATCCACATCTATCGAACTGAACGAAGCCCTCAAAGAGGGGTATATTGTCACCAAACTCTTCAGAGTTCTGGAATTCAAAAACTACGACGACAAACTTTTCAACCCATACATTAGTGAATTTATGTCTCAAAAAATTCACTCTTCAGGATTCGACAACTCCATCAAAGGGGACAATTTGAAAGAAG